GACCGCAGCCATTGGAATTGTTATCAGTCCAAAAATCATTTATATCAAAACTTCATTTTATGATAAAAATAACAATTTCTTTCAAAATATTTTCAACACAAATCATGGTCAACAATCCGGTCAACAATCCGGTCAAATATTGTCCGGTTTAAACACTTAGGATTTAAAATCAACTTTGTTCGAAGATCAAGTCCGGACAACATACCACATATGTTTTGGACGGTTTAACACTTAGAATAAATTCATCTTTGTCTGGATAAACACTTAAACATAAGGTATGGTTTCAATCCAAATAATAAACAACATTCAACTAAAAACCAATATAAATTTTATGCAAAAGTTTAGAAACCACTCACATTAACAAACTTTTGAAACCAAATTCTTGAAATCAGCCATTTTGCAACTTAGCACAAGCAATCCGTACAACACTTCTCTTTTTAAAAACAAGACTTCTCTCAAAATAGCAGGAAGCACAAATGAAGAGGCTAAGCCTCCTATTTATACTTCCCAAAAATAGGAAGGTCGGTTAAACCGCCTTCTCTTCCCCTTCCACCTCATGCATACCCACATATGCACACATGCACATACATACATTCATACCTCATGCATGCATAATATATTTATATATATAAACACACACACACACACACACACATATATATATATATATATATATACTTAATCAATTAATACACAAATTCTCATACTGGCATGTATCAATTATCATGCTATCATGTAATTATTTAATCAAATAATCATATATCATTTACCTTGGGTAATGACCAGGATCCGGTTATCACAAATAAACATCTTATTTTAAAATAAAAAAAATCTAAAATATAATTAAGATAGTTATCGAGTTCTAACAAAATAATTAGTTATTACCTTTATAAGAAAATTATATTATTAAACCAAATATAAATTATTTCGTTATTGTACCTAAATTAAATTATAATAAAAAATTGAATTAAAAAATTACACAAAAAATGAGGAATTTTAAATAGTTAATTTGATACGAATATCGATATATTTTTTATGCATAAAGTACTGTATATTGATGCATATTACTTAAAATTTATTACTTAAAATTCAAGATTACAAGTAATTATGCATAAGTACAACTTATTAAAGCTCGATGTTTGAATTCGTATAAATAACTGCAGATAAACATAATCAAATAGAGGATGAAATCTCAWTTTAAAATATAAAAAATCTAAAATATAATTAGAATAATTATCGAGTTCCAACAAAATAAATAATTATTATCTTTATAAAAA